CCCCTCTCCTCCCTCCTCCCCTCCCTCCTCCCTTCTCCCTCCTCCTTCCTCCTACCTTCTTCCTTCTTCCTTCTTCACTCTTCCTTCTTCCTTCTTCCCAAGCCCCGGCCACGTCTCTCTCCATTAGTCTTTATTTTACCTCACAAAAGGATGGAATTCTTCTATTCGAAAATGTTCTTCGTTTTCAAATCTTTTCCCAAGCCCTGGAGTACCATGAGGGAGAAGAGGAGTTTTGTCATCCGAGGAGATTGGCCCAAGGCGGGCCAGATTCTTTGGGGACGAGGTGGAGGACCGGCGAGGGTGGGAATCGCTGGCTGGTGACGAGGAGGGGGCATCCATCAGGAACGAGCACGAACACAGGCACGGAGGTGGAACGGGTATAGAGTGTAGGGACAGGGACAAGAGGTAAAATTAATTAAGTAAAACGGCCCAGATTCTGGAGGAAGGAGACTAGAAATCCAGACTCTGGTGCCCTCAGAAGAAGGTCCTCTAAAAGTCGGGGAACCGTTCCTTGAACTAAACAGCTCTTTGCGTTATTTTTTTTTTCTCTCGCTCTCTCTCTCTCCAGAAATATTCCAGAAGCGATTCTGATATTTGTTCGCTCCCATTTTTGGTCAAGATCTGTCAGAAGATCAAATTGTACGTATACCATTTCTCCCTTCCTGCGCACGGCATGGGGTGGCATCTGTGACTGTCCTTTGTCTTCTAATGCCCAAAGTGATGTTCAAATTTAAAAGGCATCTTCCTCGAGATGAAAGTGTTTCTCATTCATGACTTGTACAGAAACCAGAGGACAAATTAGCTCTGAACAAATTATTTTGGAAATACACTGGGTACCAGTATCCTTGGGCATCAAAACCTGGCTTATACCTGGGGCTGGGACACAGCCTGCTGGTGAGATTCTGAGCTGCTCGGTACACACTCGCACCACACCTGGGGACAGCCCTTCCTTGCTGTGTAAGATACAGACAAGTTTGGCAACTCATCACGGCGGGGACTCTGAGAGTCTTTAGAGCAAGGCACTCCCAGGCTGGAAAGGGACCGCTTTTTCACTGAGCCCGACCAACTGACTAAAAATCTGGCTGAGATATGATGACCAGGCTTCCAAATACAGTGACACTCTTCAGAGTCCCCAGGCCATCCTGTCTCAGCTTTAATCCCGTACTCCAGCTCCACGCAGAGTCTGAGGCTATGCTGGTCGATACGGTCATCACCATCCAAAGACATTAAAAGAGAGAACGGTGTCCTGCAAGGCACAGTGGACGATGAGGCCAAACAGCATGGTTCTGCCTTCCACTCGGCTGCTTCCCATTTGGCCGGGGCTGCGGCTGCCACCAGGTAGTGTCTGGACGCCATCCTCGGTGCCATGTGCTGCATTCCACTCACAGGACATTTGTGCACCTAGTTCTCACAACAGCTCCATAGGGTGGGGATCATTAATATTCCTATTTCACAGAGGAGGAAACTGAGTCTTAAAGAAATCACTTGTCCCAGCTGCCGAGGACCCAAGATACCCGCCCCCACCCCAGGCGCATTGGACCCACGTGTTCTTTGGAGACATCCACATTCTCGGCCCCTGGGCAATGCTGCCTCTTAATGCCTAAACTCAAGGTATAGGCTAAATTACGGCTACACCTTGGAATCATGTGGGGAGTTTTTAAGGTGCAGACTGCTTGGCCTGAGACCTACTGGGGAGCACTACGTTTTCCTAGGCTCCAGATGGGCGGCCCCCGTCCTGCCCAGAGCTCATGCGCCAGGGCAGGTGCCAGAGTGCAGATGCTGCACGGATAGGCGATGTCTTAGTGACGCGAAGTCATGCTCGTCAGCAGCGAGGCATCCGCAGGGCCCCACCATCCGCCCTGGCCCTTGTCGCTTTCGTTCTTGCTCTCTGCAGGCGGTTCCTGTCACTTGAGCCCATCCTAATCCTGCAGAGCTGTCCTTGTGAGGGCGTAGGGCTGAGACCTCCCGGAGATGAGGGGCAGGCTGGGAGGCTCTTTTAGTTTTCTAGGTCTGCTGTAATAAAATACCACGAACTGGGTGGCTTAGAACAACAAAAATGTATCCTCTCCCCATTCTGGAGGCTGGAAGCCCCAAAGCGAGGTGTTCGCAGGGTCCCTCTGAGACTCTGCTCCCTCTGCGATGCCCTCCGCGACGCGATGGAATCCTTCTGTGCCTCTTAGCTTCCGGCGGTGGCCGTCACTCCTTGGTGCTCCTTGGCTTGTAGGTGCCTCGCTTCATCTTCACACACGGCCACCTCCCCTACGTGTCTCTCTTTTCCATTTATAAGGACGACACCAGGTGTACTGGATTCTAATCCCACTCTAAGGACCTCTTCTCAACTTGATAACATCTGCAAAGACCCTCTTTCCATGTAAGAAGGTCACGGTCATAACTTTTCGGTGAACACGCATAGCAGAGGCGCTTTTCCTACCTTCTTCGGTCCTTCATCTCATGAGCTATACAGAAGCTAATGCGCTGAACAGCTCCCGTCTGCTGTGACAGTATCTCGGGAGGCTACGCTGCTGGCTCGCTTTTTAGAGATCCGAGAGTCTGCCCACCTGAGCTCCTGCAAACCAGCTGTGCAGTGTGCTGGCCTAAGTCCCATAAATAGTATCAACACCCCTTTTCACGAATAGGGGTGGATGCAGAGGGCATCGGGACGTGGGGAGTGGAGGGGTGACATCAGACGTGAAAGAAGATGCTGGGAGGCTGAGACGCAGCCAGCCCCCAGGCCCCCGGCCACGCCATCATTGTGGAATGGAGACGCCTGACTCCTGTTTGCCCAGCCCTAGAAGCCATCCTTGGAATAACCGTTACGATCGCACGTAACGACGAAAGAGCTAATGGTCCGTGAGTGCCTGGCACGGGTCTCGTGCTGCATTCAGTCTTTCCAGCAACCCCAGGATGCGGGTACTGATGTTGGCCCCGTTTTACAGATGAGGAAACAGAGGCACAAAAGGATGAAATGATTTGCCTAAGGCCACATAACAAGCGGAGAGCGCACCCGCGATCCAAACCCAGAGTCGAATCTCAGAACCCAAAGCTATGTTGAGGAGCTTCTCAGGGCGTTTCCTTCCTACTGGAGTACCCTTCACCAATCGCTCGCCTGGAAAACGCTTTCTCATCTCTCAGATTTCACCTTAAGATCACCTCCTTCCTGTCCTGCGTTGGAAATGTTTTCTCTTTTGGTGCGCAACCCTTTTACAGCCTCTTTCCATAGGACTATAGTTTCCAATTGGTGCATTACTTTCCCCACCCGTCATTAAAGATCTCCAGCACAGTGAATACATCCTATACCCAGTCCTAGTATCCGATATGATATCTGGGACACAGCGGGAACTCCAAGGATGCCTGTAATTTGCAGTTATTGCTACTTTGGGTGACCCATCTACCCCCTCATGTCTAGAATGTATGGCTTTGGTTAGTCACTTTGAGCCCTTAAGATAAGCAGATAAATGTTAATTGAATGAAGTAGCTTTCTACTTCCAGAGACAACTCATGGTTAACTTCCTTCAAAGGCAAAACTCTCACCACAAAGATGGCAAAGGCGGGCGGGGATAGCTTTGGCACACGAAAGCGAGACCTGTCACCGGCACCTTTTCTCAGACTGAAAATATGGCGGTTCAGGTCCGTACCTTCTCTCTCTGTCTCTCTGTCTCTCTGTCTCTCTGTCTCTCTGTCTCTCTGTCTCTCTGTCTGTCTCTCTCTCTCTCTCTCTGCATGTGTCTATATGTCCTACTCTGTCTCTCTCTCTCTCTCTCTCTTTCTCTCTGCATGTGTCTGTATGTCCGTCTTTTCTCAGCCAGAAAAATAAAACAGCTGTCCAGGAAGTGTACCTGGGAAGAAACTATCTAGTCTCACAGGAGATGTCATCTCCAAAGAGGCTTAGAACCTGGACTTCCAGGGTCCACCATCCTGGGATTCACAAGGCAGGCACCACACTGCCAGTTAGGCTCCGTGCTGGCTCAGGCTGAGTCCCTGTGCCTTGAACTCTCAAAACTGCTGAGAAGCTCTTGATTCCAAGGAACATTTAATAAATCCTATAAAGGATCCTGTTACTCTCGCTACATTCTGGGCTCTAAGGAGAGCCTCACGCTGCCACATGACTGCACTACCCGGCCACCCATCAGTGACTTCCCTACAGGGGAAACAGTGTCTGCCCATCCGAAGCTGGGAAACATCTGGTAGTGAGGACACGACGGGGGAATGCTCACTCCGGAAGGCGTCCGAGGCTTTGGCATGAATTATCTTGGTCATCAGTCACATCAGAGTCCTGGTTTTCCAGGCCCATGAATGGGAGCGAAAGTCATTGCCAGCTAATGACAACTAAATGCCTCGAGATTCTCAAGTCTTTAAGAGTAAAAATTTAAGAAGAGACTTACACATTCACAGAATGTGTAAAATGGCACCAATTCAACCTGTAGTGCCAAGCTCGTTGGACCAAAAACACAGTCTCCTTTCCTGGGAATCTCAACATCAATATCCCGTGCCCTCTAAAGCTTCGATTCGGTTACTTCTGTTCCTCATAAGGGGCGAGCTAAATGTCAGAGAGGAAATCTGTCGGTGGAAAGCAGAGTCTGGCAAAGTCTGGCTGACATTCTTTCAGACCACGGAAGCCCTTGATTTTATTTTTAGAATGGGTTTCTGTCACATAAACTCAACACAGCCATACCTGAAAATGTCTCTATTTGTTTTCGCGGTTTCTTTTTTCCTTAGCTTATCGGGTATTCTGCTTTCTTTTTTCCAGAGCTATAGAAAATTCTGTGCCATTCAAAGATGTCGATTCAGACAAATACAGCATTTTTCCAGTAAGTATTGTGAAGACGTTCACCAGATGTTCACCGACTTTCCCCATCCCTTCTACAAATATCTTTCCTTTGATAAGACAAGATAGAATTCCACTCGAAGGTATTATTAATTTGATAACATACCACTTCACGATGTTTATGGGCTTTTCGGCGTCTTCATTAATATATGGACCAGCGAAGTGGATCTTAGACCTAGTGTTTTGTTCCCCGAAGCCGTTCCCAGCCGTTCCCTCTCCATAGGGGTTACAATTATCATGAAAGCTCTTGTGAATTATTTTGGAAGTTCTTAAACCTACTTTAACTTAGTTTTTTAAAGTGTGTGTGTATGTCTTTATACAAGTGTGAATGTTTGATTTAGAGTAGTTTAGGATGTCAGGATGTTCTTTGTGAACAAGCAAGTAACAGATGTCACTAACTCCCCAAATTTAGTGACATCTCAGATATTTCTCCTGGGAATGGAGGAAATAAAAACAGTGTTTGAAATTGTCATGATTCTTGATTCTTTCAAGTCAGACAGGTCTAACATATAATAAATCCACATAATTAACCAGTTTAGCTAGAGATTTTTAAATTATCTAGTAAAATGATTAATGATTTGAACAGATAAACCAAATGATAAGAGCCTGAGAAGAATAGTGATTAATAGAGAAAGTTCAAGGAGTTGGATGGTCGGACCGCTTATGGATTACACACACACACACACACACACGTATGTACATGTGCGTGTACATGTGCACACACGTACAGCACTCATACACATAACCATACATGTGTGCGCACATGCACACGTGTATTCAATGCACTCCCATACACCCACATACAGGCATACACCCAACAGCACATATACACACATTCACACGCACACATTCACATACGCACATTCACGCGCACATTCACGCACACACTCCCACTTGTTACCGGCCCTGGTACTACCTTACACTTCACCTCACACATTATTTTATCACATTAATCTTAATTGTCTTCGCGATCTCCAGCATTCCTAGACTGCGTTTGGGTTAAAAACTGCAGATGTCGACCCCGCCCCCCGCCGCCCCCACCGACCCTGCCCCTCCGTCGTGGGGAATGGCGAGGTGGACCCAGCTCTTCCCGTGTGTCCTCTTCGATTTCAGACACTGCGTGGCTACCACTGGCGAGGGAGGGACTGCAATGACAGCGACGGGACGGTGTACCCAGGCAGAAGGTGACTGTCGCGGCTGAAACCTGCCTCCGACAGGGGACAGGGGGCCTCATTCCTTTCCCGGCCTAGGGGATTCGTGCTGACAGAGAGGAGGGACCCCGCGTCCCGACTGAAGTAGAGCTCGGTGAAAACAGAACACCGTTTGCCCAAGAAACGGTCATGGAGCACCTACTAAGTGCCAAGCACTCAGCACCATGCTGGGTGGTAAACGGAACGGTAATAGGCCTCCTCTCGTGGAGTTACGGTCTAGTGGGAGAAAAAGCCGAGCGACAGGTGAGGTGGACGTCCGTCCAGCCTCCTGCACGCAGCCCCCCTCCAGGAGCACGGAGAGGGCTCCCCAGGGAAACACGGGTCAGATTTTAGTCCTGGGCTGATGTTCAGTCAGCCGCGTCTCTGACTCCAAAATCTGCATGTGTCGCCTTAGCTATGACTACAGTGCCAAAGCAGCAAATGAACCCGATGTTAGGGACGTCAGCGGCAGCATCTTAATGGCTTCACCTGTCTAAATAAAACAGAGTGCAGGCTGGTTCCTCACACGCCCCTGCACCGGGCGACAGCCCTGCAGGTCCGGATCCGGGTCAGAGGTGAAGAGATGGGGTCTGGTCCACAGTTCCCCGCAAATGACCGAGACCAAGAAAATGGCAAAGAGGCCAAGCGGAGGCTTCTGTGTGTCACACGCACAGTGCTTCCTGTCACTCTTCCTTGAAGGACCTGTGGTCCACGAATGACACAATGCAGTGCTCATTTACGCATTGGTTCGTGAAGCTGACGTTCGCTCGGTGACAGTATATGCCAAACACCCATGTTGATGTTTTCTTCTTAGGCCAGACGACTGGGATATACATCAGGACTCCAACTGCAATGGCATTTGGGTGAGCCCCTAAATTCAAACTTAACCCCGTTCTCCTACTCTCTGCCCCGCTTCGAACCCCACCGCCTGCCTCAGGCAGACCTAAGGGAGAAGATGGCAGACTGAGGTGACCGTCCCCTGCTTTGCTATCAGCGGTGCAATGAGAGACGACGCTGCCTCAGTCACAGCCCCTTTAAGCCTCGCTGAAGGTCACCCGCACCTGATCCCTTTATTCCGTTTTGAACACTGTGAAATTGAACGGAGAGTGGCAACCCCAAAACCTGCCGCTCGCTGCCCCCGTCCCCTGCAGCCAAGTCTGTCAGGTGGAGGGGGAATCATGCTGCAGGTGCATCTCGGGGCATCTAGTGCTGGCGCCCAGTGCCCCGTGAGCAATGGGCTCGCCGCTTCCAGGTGGGGGATAGCGAAGGAAAGCCAGGCAGCACAGCACCACCACGGACTCTGGTTTCGTGGGGTCCTCGTGAAGAAAGAGAATACCAAATCACACAAATACAAAAGCAAGAATGGAAGCAAATAATTAACAAGGACAATAAATGACATTCTAACAACTTACTGGAGTCTTGGAAATTCAGGTCCTATTATTCTATCGAGACCTCTTTCTCGATTTACCAGGAGTGCCGCATGGTGGTGTGTTCCGGGGCAGCTTGGCTTCCCCTGCCACCCCGAACACTCTGTAGCTCCCAGCTGCTCCCAGCGCACACACAGCAGGGACTGTGCTAAGCCCTGAGTGTACGATTCCCCAGCTTCAGGATAAATCGCCTTTGAATAGTTGCCTCATTTATCTGCTTGGATGAAGAGGAGAAATTTCGTGTAAATATTTTCCTCTCTCCAGGACACCTGCGGTCCATGGTTTCTGAGATATGGAGAACAGGACAGATCAAACCCCAGCCACCCCCCACCCGTCCTATCGTTAGTCAAACTGCCTTTTCATGAGGAGGAAAAGACAGTTTCCTTATCAGTTATGACAGAGAAGCACATCACCTTCACACCTATCCCTTTCCACAGGGGAAAAATAACCCACAGGATCACAAAATCATTAACCCAAAGGAGATTTTACAGCCATCAAGTTCAATATCTCCCAAAATGTGTCCCCAGAACCCTAGTATGGAGTGTGCTGTTAACAGGTATGGGGGGGAGGGATCCTATAGTCAAGTTCAGGGTCAAAGAAACCCCAACGGCTTTCTTTACTTCTGGATTTCTCAGCATCTCTGATGCTTTAATGTGTGCTGGGAGCCCCCACGACCAAGAGTGGACGCAGGTTCTAACTCGTCCTTGACCATCACGCACCAGATGACAGTAGCTCTCCCTTCCTGCCCTTCCCGCATTGGAACAACCAAAAATCTCTCCAGACGTTGCCAAGTGTCCCCTGGGGTGGAGGTGGGGGACAAAAACAACCCTATTGAAAATCGCTACTCTAGACTCATGAATCGTTAGGCCCTGGAGATACCGGGACACTTGGAGCTCCAGCTCAGTTTTTTACCTTGTGACCCAGTCACTCAGTGGGGCCTCAGCACTCCCGGGGGGTGACACCCCCAGCACTCCGGAACCCCGCCCTGCATCCTTTGGAATGAGAGGGTCCAGTTTCTGGATCTCGCCTTTTCCCGCCTCCAGGTTCTCAAAGCCCAGCTCACTCACGCAAAGTGTTGACACGGCAGGTTAAGAGCGCAAGGGATTTCCACGGGTTTTCTCCCCTAATTTGCCTCTGGACTTTCAAAGCCCTTGGGGGAGGGAGGGAATTTAGTACAGGTGTCTCACAGATGTAAAAGCAAACTGCTAATCTTATCACTTCTCTTTTAAAGGGTGTTGATCCAAAAGATGGCATTCCATATGAGAAGAAATTCTGTGAAGGTATGAATTGTAAACGTCAGTGTGCTCATTACAATAGGACATTCTTTTCTAAGCCGAGTCAGATCGAAGGCAGTAGGCACCCGGGCGAGGAAGCGCCTGATGGTACAACTTAAAGGTGACCAACTTACATTTATGTTCATGACAAATCAGAAAAAAAAAAAAGATTCTAGAAAAAGGAGGAAAAACCTAGAAAAAGTAAAAGCGAATTTGTTTAGTCGACTCCTATATTTGGGGATTGGAAACTTGGATGATAATGTTACAAAAGGCTGCAGGATAGATAACGAGATAAATTCAACACCTCTCCAAGTAAGAAAGCAAGCAGAGGCGATAATTATTTTTATCTTTTTCATGTCCTTCTCAATATACTACAAGGTCGGATGTCTGGGCTGGTACTGACAGAGTCCCTGTGTCAACTGGAGTAGAGACGCATATCTCGGTGACTCGAGGGAAACGTCCAAGTTACAGCCACTGAAGTTCCAAAAACGGCTGAGCGAAAGCTCTGTATTCTAAATGCCCAAATGCCTCAGACATCTGGGCTACCAGTGCTGTCAGGAACAACTTATTACTACCTACATATCACTGAAAACATGCTTCTGGTGATGCCCAAAGCATCCCGAACGAACGAAGTAGAAACATCACTGTCTTACGTTTAGGTAGTGGTTTTCCCTAACATTTAGAAGCATTTTATTCATTCATTCATTTATTCATTCGTTCATTCAACAGATATTTCTTGAATACCTATTCCTATTAAGCGGTGAGGGCTCTATGCAGATCTGAGTTTTCGCGGACAGACACGATACAGTCCTTGCCCAGACTCGATGTAACATAAAATTGTCTTTATGCTCTCAGAGAAGCAGGAAGGGAGAAAAGTGCATCATTATGTAATTTAGAAATGCTTGTTGGACGAATAAAAGAAGGAATGAACAACCGAACTAATGAGTAAATAAACTCGGGTCTAAATGAAATCCTAGTGTGAGGCTCTGGGGTCACTGTGAGAAGCCTCTTGGATCCCCCCGCATCCCAACGCCTCCCAGATGCCCTGGGCCTTCTCAGTCCCCTTTGTGTGGCCAAGAGCTAGCTGTCACAAGCCCAAGACAGGAAGCCACTGGAGTGAGGCTGATTGGGGAGGGGGCTCCTCTCTGACGCTGGGAGAATCTGCTGATGCTTCCAGGGTCTTAAGGGATTCAGAAGAGCACATCCATCACCCATGGGTGGATGATTTGTGCAGATGGGCCTTAGAATTAGATTAAGTGGTCCTTCACCCCCAAATACACAGTGCTTCACAGAGACCTTTATCCCTCCACCTCCCCATTAATCAGCCAGAATCATCCATCTAGTGCTTTTTGTATATGGATTAAGGGTTTTAAAAGACCACAACTCCTATGAAAAATCAAAGTCATTCCATAAGATCAGTAATTCTTAAAGTGAATTATAACAGAAATTGGTGTGTTTTCCAAGAAAGCAATTTCCAGAACCAAAATTCAGGGCATATTTCTGAGTTCAGACAAAGTTTCGATTCATTTATGCATCCATCATTCACTCAGGATGTTGCAAGGCAGTTCGTTTTATGCTGAGCTAGGAAACACACCTTCATCTGTACAGCTTAGCATGCAGTTCCGATGGCCTAGAAATCTCATTCGGCTTCTGAATGCTATGTCCCTCCATCTGGAGCACACAAAAAGTGGCAGCGCGTCACTGTTACGATGCTCCGTGCATGGAACACACAGCAGGGTATCTGCTCTCCTAACTGCCCAATCTGGAGGCTTTAAACTACTTGAGAGCATAAATAATGCAAATAAATTATGCCACCCAGGTTCACAGCCCAGGGGGATCATACTGCTGGGAGACTCAGCTGGGGCTCATTTCCGCATCTCTCCCGAATGGATCACAGCTTCGCAGATGGCCTTGGTAAGTAATTTTGGCAGTAATCATCCCGGATGCACTGGCCTGTGTGTTTGTTTCCCCTTGCTCTCTCTGAATGTGATGCCAACTCCAAACAGGTGCAAATTTCCCTTCTCAGCAAAATCTGCCATAAAAGGCACATCCACAGCCATTTCGGATCAGCTCATTTCCAACAATGTGAGCAGAAATGAGAGAGCATTGCCAGACATGGCTCACCACGAGAGCCGCCCCACCCATTAGAGTCGGGGGATGGCACCCCTGTGAGTGGGAGGGAAGCTTTGGCCCGATGGGCAAAACCTCATCCTACAGCCACCTCTGAGTGTGGTTTCCTCACCCCTCTCCTAGAAAACTGAAACTCTGATCCAGAGAAATTAAACGACAGAAGAGAGGGACCCATTCTCCCTTGACCCCTTCTTCTCAGACTATTGGACATGAACCTAAACACGCTCTGTCTGAACCTCTCTCAAGTTCCCAAATTGGGCAGACGTACATGTCCCTTCTCTAACGACGAACAAGCAGGGAAACATCTGGACCTATAAAAAACCCTTATGATCTCAAAAGAAGACTGCTCGTTTGAAAAAAAGCTTGCTGGAGGCAAGAGCGACGCTGTAAAATACTAAATTTAGATTTTGACGATAATCGAGAAGCGATGGTGCCCGTAAAAAAAAAAAAAGAACACTCTAAGATCAAGGAAGACTACTGTTAGGTCAAACGACAACCCCCCTACATGAACATGCAGTGGCGATACTGACCAGCAAGTTGGACAACGAGGAACACAGAATGAGCAAAGCAGCCAGCCAGCTGGCTGGCTCAGAGAGGAGGCACGCAGGGTAAGTTCTGGAAAGTGAATACAAAATACAGCAGAGGAAACACATCAGGCAGAGAGGAAGCAGTAACCAAATAAATAATAAAGACATTTTCTTGAGTTGAGGAAAGCTTTTGTCTTTAATCGAAAACCCACACTGAGTGCCAGGCCCAAAAAAAAAAAAAAAAAAAAGCCTCTCCCATGTCTTGCTTTTTCTTTTTATTCCAAGCACAAAGAAATATATTCGAGTTATTCTGCCTAACGAGCAACCAACCGGGTTACAGACGATGAGGAAAAATCCTTTTGGCATCAGACATCTCTCTCCACACTAAATTTCAGAAAATAGTGGAATGGCCTCCACGGAGTTTTGAGCTCTAAAGACTGTGTGTCAAAAATACTCGAACTGCCAAGGTATTGTTCTTACATGTGGGCCACAGAAACTTATTCTCAGGCAAAGATTCAGAAAACATACCAGACATATGTCTTCCTGAGAAATTATTTTAAGAAGTATTCTAGTTCACGCTGAGCATAATATAAGGTGAAGGCCAAAAAGAAAAAAAAAATCATTACTAGATTTGATTACATAAGATTTTCAAATCTATGCAATGTCAAAAACTCACAAAATTAAAAGACAAATGAAAAACTACAACAATATTTATAACATATAAGACAAGATTTATATTCTCTAATAACAAAGAGTTCTTGCATATCAATTATGGATTACTTCAGTAGTAATCAAAGAAACATAAATTAAAATGACATCGAAGAATCATTTATCATTTTAGGGCTAGTATTTGCAAGAATATGGTAAAATGGGCCTGTTTATTCATCACCAATGAGAGTTTGCTAGAACTTCTCTGCAAGGCAGTTTGGCAATATGTACAAAGTGACATGAAAGTGTTTGTGGCTTTGCCAGTAATTCCACATCTGGAAATTTACCTTTAAAACTGATCAGGCATATTCGCTCAAGAATCTTTGTATGTGAGTGTTCATCAAAGAGTTATTTATGAAAGCAAAAATGAGAAAAGAAATTTAAAATAAAAAATATAGGATTAGATATGTAAAATTATCTTATATCCATAAAACGAAATGCAACCATTAAGATACATATTATAGACACGTTGTCAAGAGATGTATTTATGATCATTTGTTAGGGGCAAAAGCAGGTTACAGAATAATAGGTATGGACCCGTCTTTGTGAATATGTGACGTAAGTGTGTCTGCGTGTGCAAATGCAGAAAATCATTGGAGGGTTGCAGATCAGCATGTTAACCCTGGGGTCTTTGGATGGGGGGATTCTGGATATCTTTCTTTCTAAACAGTGAATGCGTATGATGTTTCCAAAATATCGTAACAGTAGATTTTGGGGATCATTTTGTTTTGTTTTCAGCAAAGAGCTAAGGAAAACTGCTAAAGAAAATCTAAAGCGTTGCTTTATTTAACCTCCGTAAAAGCTCTCTGAGGCAGGTGTTATTACAGCATAGGCTCACTTTACGACATGTACTCAGAGAGGGTGAGTAGACTGCCTAATGTCACACAGCTAACAGGGGTCAGATCATTTCTTGTCAGTGTCATCCTGAACAAGCCACCTAACTGGAAACTTTGTAAAAGGGGGTAGGAATAATCTCTAGTGAGACCATGTGCTTCGAGAGCAAATGGCTGTGAAAACACTTTAGAAACATAGGCTGGATTCAAACCAGACAACAGTAGATTGACACCACTCACGCGGTGGCAGCTAAGCAGGCTGGCGACGTCCTCATGCTTGTCCTTCTTACTCCGCATCTTGGCCTTTGGAGGCTGAGGCGAGGGGCGCCTCTCACTTTAGGGTTCTCCTGGAGAGAACAGATTCTCACACTCTCTCACCAGAGCCACAGCTCACTCTGCAGTGTGCTAAGTCTCTGGGGAAGAGAAAGACCCTCTGAGAAGACACTTTCAAGAAATCACGCCCGCAAGCCCAGCGGCCAGTCCCATACTGGAGTCGTGATGATTGGACTTTGAATTATAACATTTTTTATCTGCTATTTGCAACAACGAACTAATTGAAATACTGCAGATTAGTATTCGCTGGCTTGGGTTTGGGTTATTTCCCACCCCATCCCATCTGCTGTCACTTTTGGCAGCAAGTAAATAGTTTTGAGAAATGGCTTTGAAAATAGCAATGATGTAGGTAGGGTTGATGCAGAATCCAAATGGAGTATTACGGTAATTGAGATTTATGAGTCTTATCAATATGTTAATCATGTTGTTGATGGTATGCGTTAGTGCCGTTTTGTCATGCATTTCAAGTATTCGATGTTCTAGGGTTCTTAAAACATCTCTTCAGATTAACATTCCTCCGCAAGCTAAAAATTAGCCCCGTCGCTCCGAGCCCGGGCCACTTCTGTGCGATACCATTTGACAGGAAAGGAAGGTGGGACAAAAAAAATAAAAGAGAGGCATTTTGCTTTGAAAGTTGATGCCGAAAATGAAACTTTATCACCAAGTCGGTGTCAAAATAATGCTGTACAAACCACCCCAATTCTTAGTGACTTAAAACAATCATCATTTCTTATCACTCACTCATATCTCGTCTGGGGTCAGCTGTTCTAGAAGGAGCTGTTGGTCTCGGCTCCAAGCCGAAAGTTAGGTTGGGATCTGAGCCATGTCTCTCATTTTTCTCGGTTGGGTAATCCACCCAGAGCCTGTTCTTTTCATGGTAATGGCAGACGTGCGAGAGGGCAAAGCCCTCCATACAAATACACGCGCTGCATCACGCTCCCCATCAACGCACTGGCCAAAACGAGTCACGTGGCCGTGCTCCGGATCAGTGGGGAGGAAGGCCACCTACCCGAAACGAGAGAGGGAAGAGAGTGAATACTTGCTGTCTTGTTTTCATCTAATTATAAATGTTGATTAGGCAATGGACAAAAATAAGCAAAAACAAAAATTATAAACAAATTGTTAAAATTCCACTAGATACTACCACCCAGAGGCCCAATCATGGTAACATTTTGGAGTATAAGATAGATTGGTTTTGAAATATTCTTTTAATATTCTTCTTAGAAAAAAAAAAAAAACGAATGTATAAAGTCAATATTGGAACCAATTTTGAGAAGTAAAAAAGAAATCACCCCCTACCATCTGCATCTTTTCTCAGTATTTTTTCTCTCTTTCCCAGCATTACACACACACACACACACACACACACACACACACACACACACACACACACACCCCTGTGCTGTCACAGAATAGCAAGTGTGCAGCTGGTGATTCTCCTTTTTTACAGTTAGTACTAATCGACATTGCTACTTAGTCTTTATACTTATTATATTCGTCAGTATTCCACAGTGTCCTTTTGAGCATACAAGCCATAATCTGCTAAACCATTCACCCAAGACTGGATATTAAGCCGATTCATGGTTCCATTTTTTGGCTACTACAGATCATACTCTTTAAAAAAAAAAAAAAAAAAACTTACAATTTTAAAAACTTATTATCTATGGAGTCTCTCCGTCTGCACAGAGAGTCAGCCTCGGTGTGAGAGCCGCGCCTGGCAGACAGCTGTGGGGTATTCCGAGCTCAGATGTCTCACAGTTTGGTTGTTTGGCTTTTAACGTTTGTAGCAAGTATAAGCAATTTATCACCACACACTAACCCGAGACCTACTGTGCGCCAAGCCCGGCGATAGGGCTGATGACACAGTGGTGAGGAGGAAAAGAACCCAGGTCCCCAAGGAGCTTCGGACCTTGTGGGTAAACGCAAACACGCAAGTAGGCAACTCCCTCATGAGACCAGGCAACATTTCTTTGTCTCGTCTCCCCGTAAAGCAGCAAACTCTCCTGCAAATGTGTCCCCGCTACACCCCAACGTGCTCACTGGAAAGGAAGCCACGGCCTCCCTCCAGGATCGTCCCTGCAGTGGTCCCTTCTCCCTGCTCCTCCTCCGGTTAAGCCGTGTGGCACCCGGGAGGCCTGTTTGCAGCTAATTAGATTAGGATGTGTTCATCTGGAAAGATATCTGTAGTTCAACAGAAAGGGCGTGAAGAACCACCCTGGCGGGTCTGCAGACGGAAGGGTTCCGAGCTCGCTGGGCTGGGGCAGGAAGCGGGTTCTGCCCTCGCCCAGCGTAAACGCCCGGAGCTTCTCTTCTAGATGTCCTCAGGAGTCACGTTCAAAATGACCTTCCATGTCACATGAGAGGCCGCAACTTAGAGGATCTC